AGAAGAACAACAAATATGATTAGAGGACTGGAGCTAAAACATATGAAGAACAGTTGCAGGAACTAGGTATGTCTAGTTTAATGAAAAGAAGGACTAGGGAAGACATGATAGTAGTGTTCCAATATCTCAGGGGCTTCCACAAAGAAGAGGGAGTCAAGCTATTCTCCAAAGCACCTGAGGATAGGACAAGAAGCAATGGGCGGAAACTAATCAAGGAGAGAAGCAACTTAGAACTAAGGAAAAATTTCCTGACAGTTAAAACAATTAATCAGTGGAACAACTTGCCTCCAGAAGTTGTGAATGCTCTAACACTAGAAATTTTTAAGAAGATGTTGGATAATTATTTATCTGAAGTGGTGTAGGGTTTCCTGCCTAAGCAGGGGTTGGACTAGAAGACCTCCAAGGTCCCCAACTCTATTCTTCTATTCTAATATAGAATCCTGCTTGTGAGATGGGTATTTACTTTATAGGAGAAATTAAATAAATAAATGAACCAAAGAACTCTCTCCTACTACGTCTACATCTAGTTAATAGCATAATGACATATATAACATATTAGTTTTTAAACAAATGAGTGTATGATTATAGCTAGGCACATGGCCAAGAGGTTAAAGATTTCTTTCATGTGCCATGGCATCCATTTGCCTGTCCCTTAAGGGATTACTGAGCTAGATTATATTACTCAGTACAAGATAGCTCTTTGGTTCAAATATTGATATTGCTCTTGATTTATAACCTCCTCTATCTTTTTCCCACCTCTATATCATAAAATTGTATGAAGCTTTTTCTTTCGGAAATCTTAACTGTATTAATACAGCCTGATGCTATTTTAAACTATGGACCACTGTGTGCTCACTCAGAAATGGAGGTTAAAATGTATTAAATACATAATTTATGCAGCTGTTAAGTTTCATGACAAACTCACAGTTCCCAGAAATCTTTGTATTGCTGTATCTTTCCTAGTCAGTAAACAGCATGCCAAAACAAAATGTAATTTAAATAAACATAGGAAAAGGTTACAGTTATATTTTTAGGCAAGAATAAACATAGCACTTGATTATTTTCCATTTTCAGGTTTATATTAGGAAATCTCAGTTTCAACAAGGGATTTAAACTCTATTGCATGTTTTCCATTACCTGCCTCTTGATTTAATTTAGAGAACAAGTTAATTCTGCTTTCAGATTAATGCAGTTCTTTCCTTCTCCTTTGGACATTTTTTAAAAATGGCTTTTTCTTCACATGTATGTGGCTGATGTCCAAGAATGGCTAAACCACTTGTTTTGTTTAGGAAGACAGGGAGGATAAGAGGCAAAAATGAGAGGAACAGCTGGGAGTAAAAGATAAATTGGTGAAGAGAAAAAGAGAAGTTTAGAAAGGGTTTTATCAAAGGATTTTAGTCAGATAAGCAATTTCAGCTGTTCTCTTTCTTTAAGGACAGTAGTTTGGGGTAGTGATTAGGGCACTGGACTAGAAGCTGGGGTACTATGAGTTCTAATCCCACATTAGGCACAAAGCCAGCTCCTCGCTATGAATGAAGCAATGGCAAATAAATTCTGAAAATTTGCCTACTAAACTGAAGAGGCTTGTCTAGGTTGGGAGTCAACAATGACTCAAAGGCACAAAAACCAAAACCTAGATAAAGTTACTTTCATAATTTCTCATTTTTTAAAAATCTTAGCCTGTGAATGTCATCTAATCAGCTGACTGAAGGCCATAATTCAGAAAACACCATCTCTCCACTTAGCCCTCAAAACAAATTCTTCCTGTTTGATCTTTCATCCCAAAGCACAGGAAAAGATAGAGTCCTCTTAGATACTGTTGATTAGCTCCTGCTCAGGAAAATGTTTGAAACTGGCCATGAACCAAGATAAAGAGTGGAGATATGAATTCAAGGTCCATTATCTTTAAACCACTACCATGTACATTGTGTACACCAGTACATTGATTAAAACTAAAAGAACCCAAAAATAGACTGTATAGCACACCTTCCAATATGATGGAATCTGTTTCTGCACTGGGATTTTCAGCATGCACACAATGGGGAAAAAAGAGGCTGATTGAAAACAATCCATCGACAATTGTTTTAAACCAAGTCCAAGTTAGGGATTTTTTAACAAACAAATCACAAACACAATGCTATTTGCAAACACGAAATCGTTCCAAACAACACAAGGAGAAATTTATACGGGGAGAGATTTGTAAGAATGCTTGTTACCTGTGACTGAAGCTCACATAAAGAACAATGGGGTAGATTTATGGAATATATGTAATCCTGGCAAGGAATGATTGACAGAGAATAGCACATAGCTAACAGGTAATAGAAAAGAGCTGGATGTGATAGCCTTGATTTCAAGGTTTTGAGCCTGAGAGAACATGACTTGAAAAGATGATGCTTGAACAGTACTCTGAAATAGCATGATCAAACAAAAGTATTGATAAGAAATGGCTCAGAAGTGTTGCCCCTTAGACATAAATAAACTATAAAGAATAGAATAGAATAGAATAGAATAGAATAGAATAGAATAGAATTCTTTATTGGCCAAGTGTGATTGGACTTGTGCATATGCACCATTTGCACTATTTGCACAAAATGCACTATTTGTCTTGGTGCATATGCTCTCAATGTATATAAAAGAAAAGATACATTCATCAAGAATCATAAAGTACAACATTTAATGATAGTCATAGGGTACAAATAAGCAATCAAATCATATTAGGAAACAATCAATATAAATCGTAAGGATACAAGCAACAAAGTTACAGTCATACAGTCATAAGTGGGAGGAGATGGGTGATAGGAACAATGAGAAGATTAATAGTAATACAGACTTGGTAAATAGTTAGACGGGGTTGAGGGAATTATTTGTTTAGCAGAGTGATGGCGTTTGGTAAACATAAGGCCATCACTCAGTATACATAAAAGTAAAGATACATTCATCAAGAATCATAAGGTACAACATTTAATGATAGTCAGAGGGTACAAATAAGCAATCAAATCATACTAGGAAACAATCAATATAAATCGTAAGGATACAAGCAACAAAGTTACAGTCATACAGTCATATGTGAGAGGAGATGGGTGATAGGAACAATGAGAAGATTAATAGTAATACAGACTTGGTAAATAGTTTGACAGTCTTCCCAGTCTTCCCCGGAAGGAATAGGTCTTCCCAGAAACAAAAATGATTCTGGAGATGAATGTTTTCCTTTTAATTTTGTTTAAAGTGGTACAGGGCTGATGGGTCTCCCAAAGGAAGTAACCATGGGCACATTAATTCCCACAGAAGCTCATTGATCATTTATTTTACTAACTGTCCACAATTCCATG